CACTCTTGTGATTCTTACTCACACTGGATTTGCTCCTATAGTGAATTAAATATCGAAAAATAAACTATTCCATATTTTTCTGGGGACCTCCTCAAACACCCTCAAGGACCCCTGTGGGTCCCCGGACCCCTGGTTGAGATCCACTGGGACCCGCGTTCTGGAACCCGCGTTCAAAGCAGAGTCAAATTAGTGTTTTCCAAGAGCAACAGCCCTTTGAATGAACATCAATACCTCCGTACTCTTTCCTTTTGTCTTTGCAATTATTCAAATTATTAAGTCTGACTGTAAATGTGGAGAACCCTTAACAACACACCTACAGTGATGGGATGCACTGTTTACTCTGACTTAGTATTGTGCACCGATGTTCTCCCCTAACCTTTGAATCTGTGAAGCAGGCAGATTCTAAATGTATGCCGGGATGAAAGCCTTTGATTCGTATCTTGTGGAGGAATAACTTACAGTTTGTTTAAGTCCAACAGACTTATTCAAAAACATCTCTTCCATTAATCTGTGCTCGGCCCCGTGCTTACACTGTACCGAGACCTCGCTTAGCGTAGACGCAGTCGGGGCCTCCACAGAGCGTGAACACCGGAGCACTGACTGACAAGCCCGTGATAATCAATTCTCCAGCATGCTGGTCCAAGGCTATACTTCATCGAAGCTTCCTGAGCTCCATGAGAATACTTCATGGAAATTGACTGTCACGCCGTGAAATCCAATTAAAAATACATTTGGACATTGATCACCTGATGCACTTGTATCGATTGCTGCTCAAAAAGCCACTGTGTAGTGTTTTCTGTTTGGCCAGGGCCCACTCACCTCTCCATACCATATAAATGTATTGATCCGCTCAGCCACTCTTGGATCCATACGAACCATTAAACCTCCTTTCAGTGTTTCTCCATCCATTTATGTGACTCATAGCAGCCTCCTATGAGCTAAAAATGGCCAGCACGCCGCTTAGCAGACCAATCAGGTTTGAGAGACCACTACGGCATAATGAAGCCAGGTGATGATGTCACGTTAACTACCCATTTAAAAGTGCTGTTCATCAAACTAATCTCCTGGATGTCTGAGGCCGATCAAGACTATGAAGCATTCAAACGTTCACAAACAACTTGAATAATTCGAGAGGGGAATACTTCATCACGGATGGCGAGACGTGGCTAATTCAAAAACGTATAAAAAAGATCAATTTGCGCTTTTCAATCAGTGGTGTTCACACATTCTCATTTAACACAACTGCAACCACAGAAAATACACGCCATCTAATGCAGTACAATGAATGTGAAGGAATAAATCGAATGGCGGTGAATAAAACGCATTTGTATGCAAAAATTGCTGAGACGCCCCAGAGACGGAGCTGCGGGCAGACGGACGCGCATGTAATCAGGTATCAAATCGCCTTGTCTCGCTTAAGCCGACGCTCCGTCTGCGTGGTGTTGGGCCGGGGGGGGGGGGGCAGAGGGGCAGGTGAACGGCGGGTGCTATTGTCTCATCCACATGGATGACCCCGGCCTTGTGTCCGCATTAGCACGGGTCAACTCCCGTGAGTATTATCTCGTCAGAAAACAGCAACACACTCGGCCAAATAACCTCAACTTCCACATCCGGTAAAACCGGCGCTCTCCTTCACCCCTCCTGACTATAGGCCAACTCAATCAATCTTTCCCCTCACTTTCTTCCTCTGAAAGACCGCTCCGCTTTCCACCTCTCCAGCATGTTCTCCTTCCAATCTCTCCATTACACCCACCTCTTGCCCTGCAGTAATGTTCTTCACACTTCGCATCCTTCTCTTTCCCTCCATCTATTTCCTGACTTCTCTCCCTCTCATCACTCATCTCTCTCTCTCTCGCTTCTTCATTTTCTCAGTAACAATTCCCTTAAGTGCAACTAAATATCTACAAACCTTTCATGCAGGGTGTCAGGGTTCCGCTCTGCCCTGCAGGGAACCACCTCCAACTCTAGCTGGGTCTGCACACACTCACACAGACCAACATGGCGGTTAATAAGCATGTTGAGGAAGAAGGCACCTCGACTCAACATTGACCACCGCGTCCTTGCACCTCGAACTCTCAGGGAGGCTATTTGTCAAGGTCATAATTTATTTCGTAGCACCCGATATGGTGTGCCGAGGATTGGGTTGTTTCTTTCCCGTCATGTGGTCCAGGGGCCCGACAGAGACTGTGTCAGCTCTAAATCAGGGTGGTGATGTGTAGCATGAAGCGCGCAGATCTGTAACTCAGCCACAAACAGTGGAAGAAGACTTTCATCTCACTCAGCAGGCAAGAGAATGGCAATTTAGCAAAGCGATGTGCGACACATGTTCAAACTCACTCCCCTGTTCCTTCCCCACGCCCGCGCAAAGGCTTTTTACTCTGGTGTCCCGCGAAGTTATGAGCATCAGTGGACACACTGGGCGACTTGTGGAAGACGTGGGAGAGCGGCGCTGTTTTGATCATGCTGACATGGGAATCCCAATTATGGAGATGCGGCCCCGTCTAACCGGCGAGGCCAAACACCTGATGGGAGGAGGTGGCGGGAGCGCGGGACGCTGCATGTTGATAGGCGAGGCTACCGCAGTGCACCGCTGCTCCCGCGTGCTCTCAAGATGTTCCACATCTCCCCCTTCTAATTGGCAGATGGCCTCAGATGCGAGATGATTTAATGGGCTGCGTGTGTGTGTGTGTTTTTTTTTTTTCCCCTGCCTCAGTCAGCCATTAGCGGGGACATCTGTAACGAGTTGGCCAGGCACACTGCTGAGAGCGGAAGCTGAGAGCAACACATTCTAATGGGGGGGGGGGGGGGGGGGAGTGGGATTGTGACGGACCCGGGGAGGTAATCAAAGCACTCTGAGGTATTACTTTGGGTTATGATAATCGAGACATCACGCCTTAAATTGTCCGAGGCAGAGGAAAAAGAGCTTTAATAAGCCTCGGATGTTGTTTACTTCAGACAAGCTGCAAAGAATCAAACAGCACAGTGTTGCTGGCTATCGGCGACGTGACAATCCCCTTTTGACTTTCAATACACCAGAGAAAGACATTTCTAGCATGCGCATTATCATAAATGGCTTTTGGCACAAACAGCTTGGCTTCCAAGCGATGCCACTTCTTGCAGCTGGGCCGTAACCATCAGCGCTAAATTCTGCGCTCAAGGGGAAAACATTAAGGCCCCCGACCAGAGTTTGGCCCCAAAGGCCTCTGGGTGTCTGGCTCTCTGTCGCCGCCTTCATTTCTTACAGCTCCCTCCTGAGTTTGTCTCTAGAACCCGAGCCGGAGGAGGGAAGGAGCTGCGAGTCCGTCCGCCTGTTCTCCACGAGTGTGGCCGGGGCGTTGGAGAAGTGGGCCCGAGCCTGCGGCCTTTTAAATCTCGATGGCCCGTCGGTATTCTTGCCACAGCTTCTGAGGATTCGTCTGCTACCTGCCAACTGGGTCAATTTTTGCATTATTATTTTAGAGTTGTGTATCTCGCTGTGAAGAAAGGAGAGGTTCTGCACATGCAGGCATGGCAACCCACACCTGCACTTTGTCTCCCTCTCCGTTCCCCATCCCCCCCACCACCGCCTCTCTCCCTCTCCCACACACACACACACACACAGTATTCTGAATTCATTAACATGAGCACATATTTGTCACTTTAACACATAAATGTCAACTCAAAGCCACAAAATGTGCTAACACTGGGAACCTTATCCGCACGAAAATAATTTTAGACTGAGCACACCACGAAGGCCTAATTAAAATTGATGGATAGGACTAATACTGATTGTGACACTCAAAAACCCGGGCACTTTAACAGAGCTTAAACGCAAGTATCAGTTAATATGCCACTCCTCTATTTTCGCATCAGACTAACGGGATTAGCTGCAGTTATAAATCTGGAATAGTTGAGAATGTGACTCTGCCATCCACACGCTGACATTAATGAGGAGGAGGCAGTGCTGCACCGTTCCCATTAGGTTTTATGGCAGTTTTCTAACTGTTTGACTTGAGGGAAACCCCCACGTCCGTGTGCATTCAAATGACTTTCATGCAATTTCTAATCATCTACTGTATGTGTGTACTTTCAGCTGAGAGCCTGGGAGGTGAATGAGGGACCAGGAGCAGATGGGGGGGTTTAGTGAGATGCAGGGGGGGGGGAGAGAATTGGAGGGGACAGGCCGGCTGGTGAGACACGGCACAAAAATAGGAGAGGGAAGAAAATAACCAAGTATGAGATACAGAGAGGCGATAGAAGAGACCCGTGTATGAGGTGCATACAAATGGACAGGGGAGGGAACACAGAGGGGAGGAAGGGGGAGGTTGTGTGGGGAGAGGAGATAAAAAAAATGTGAGAAAGATGGATTCACTGTTGGCTAATGAGAAGACAAAGGCAGTAGAATCCACATCGATCTCTGCCCCCACACAGCACGCCGGCTTCACAGCTCGTAGGTAGAGAGGGAGATGGGAGAGAGCCTGGGGAAGCTTACCCGAGGTAACAAACCTCACCGCTGTGGGAGGAACACGAGTGTCCGTGTGGCGGGCACACGAATTTACAGTTACACAGATTTATGGAAGTTTGAGGTGCCGGGTGATTTGTGTATTTGTGCTGCAGGTAAGGTGACGGACAACGCTGAAGTGAAAGCGGGACACATGAAGAGGTGGCTGCTGCTTCAATGAAGCATACACTGATAGTGAGGTTTTTAAAAAAAAAAATGAAATATTTATACAGCAGCCACTCTGCATGCAGGGCGCAGAGATAGAACACTTCCCCTCTGGAGATGCATTACTGTACTCTGACTCCATGGAGAGGAGAAATTATTTTACAGATGAAAAATATTGAATGATGACAATCAGGTTGATATTCTGTCTTATCTTAAAGCTGTGGAAATAAATGGCTGTTCTACTCATCGTCTGTCTGTAAGAAGGTACGACCACCGTCTTTGTAAACAAGTTATCAGCGCAGGTGCGCATGAACAAAGAGGCACACGATTTAATGCGCTGCGGAGAGCCACTTACAGTAGGTTCGAGCTGTTCCAGTACACCGCATGCCGGTCGTTGGCTCTCGTCAGGTGCAAGTTTGTAAGCGCCAGCGTGACGAGGCTGAGAGAAAACGTTGCGAGAGCCATAATCCCCCTCCGGTGCTCGTCCGCCGCCCCTGGTTCCCCTCTCGTCCCTCTGCGTCCCCGCTCCTTCTGTCCCAGGCGACGAGTCGGTCACAACATCCCAGCGGTTGAAAAATAAAGAAAAACGCCTTTTCAAGTTGAACCGGGGTGACTTCTGGAGTGGTTACGTGTTCTTCAACTCAAATCCCATTGCGACGTGAGCCATTTGGGCATCTTTACCTAAAAACCTTTCTGGACTTCTTTTCTCGTGCCCGCTGCGCACTTTCGAGTCTCTCCTGGTTTTGTTTGGCGCTTCTTTGCTTTCATCGGAGAGGAACAACGCAGGCGACGCTACCGCATTCACAGCTGACGGCTGAGCTCGGTGTTTATCGTTCTTTGCGCAGCTTTGAAGCCGCTGGATCTCCGTTGGAAGGACTGTGTACCATGCGCTCCTCTCATCATCAGCATCATCAGCATCACCAGCAGCACCAGCAGCAGCCTCACGCTGCGCACACAACGCTACAAACCCGCCCTCTGATGGCCGAGATGCGCTCGCATGTCAGTCTGTGCGGCGGCCCCGCCCCCTCAAACCATGCGGCCCGCGTGAGAGCGTGCGTGTGCGTCTTTGCGTGTATTTCAGCAACTGTGTGGAGAAAACGTATCCTCTTCAATACAAAATACGTGACTCATCAGGTAAGGGTTTAGGTTTAAGATGAAGATAATAATAAACAGTAGTTTAATGTTTCGTTTGAGGTGAGATTTAGTAGTATGTTGTTATTTTAATAAAACAACACAGGCCACAACTACAAAGTTTATTTTTTTTTATCTATAAGGTTCAGGGTTTACTTTGGGATTAAACTGGGAACAAACTAAAAAGACTCAATTCCTCACCAGCTGTGAAATGAGTCACTATCACATGTTGAATCATTACTGTAGTTAATTACAAGCACGCTGTTCACATTTGTGTCAACAACTAGAAGAAAGAGGAAGCTGTTTGATGTAGAAAGGTTTAACAAGTTAAAGGGAAAAAAACAGCTCCATGGTGGTGGAGAGCGCTGGGATCAGATTACATGATAACCCGATAATGGCCCAATTTCAGATTGTGAAAGACGGCAAACTATGATTGGTCAGGGCCCATCGCGTGGTCTAGCAGGCCTCATCACAGGGCCGAGACTCGGCGATCGCTAATCTACATCGTTCAGCTATCTGAGGCATTTTAATTAAAGTCGTTCCGAGTATTGATACATCTGGAAATGCCTCTGATGCAACCTAAAATGCGGGTATCGGGTATCTGCGTCTACGTGAGCCTATATGAACCGATCCGATATCACATTATCATACAAGATCAACAACAACACGTGTCACTTGTTACATTATCAGCTCCTGAAAACAAATGATTACTGCGTCCTAAATCGATGATAGAAGTAGCTAAAGAGTGAGCCATCTCGCTTCTTCCTCTGTTGAGAGTTGCACATGCTCAGTACCGATCGGGCATCGGGCAGATGCTAGCACAGCATCAGCAATTTGGCACCATTTTACACTGGAAAATTGATTTTGTTGTTTTTAATGCACCGGTATGGGCTTTTTTTTTTTTAAGGAAGCGTTTATTCTTTAGGCTGTTGGAGTAAAAGATTTTGGAGAAATTATTATTTCCAATTCCCTATTCAGCAGGGGGTCAAGGGTTAAAGCCAGGATTTACATTAATATTAGAAAATGAATACAGTCAGTGGAAAGTCATTACGAGTATAGTCACAACACACGTGTGCGTGTGATTGTGTGTGTGAGTGATTGTGTGTGTGTGTGATTGTGCGTGTGTCTCACAGTGAAATACAGACTGAGGGAGAGAGCATGGAAATTTGGAGACTTTAATTAACCTGTTTAATTTCGCCTGTGGTGGTTTAACCACTCTATCTAGCCTAACGGCAGCCGGCAGTATTAATGGCTCAGTTAATTCCAAATATTAGGCATTAACCTCGGTTTGATTAACTCTGCCAATTTCATATCTCATAATAGTGTCCTTTTTAGAGGGGATATCAGTGATATTCACACCCGTAAACGTGGCCGTCGACGCTGTTGGTGAAACTTTAGCCGAGCGATCCAAACATTAATCCGAATGACCTCCAGTGATGAATGAGTGTTCATTACACTTCAGTCCCTGAAGGTCATGCGCACACTCCCGTGAGTGAGGAGAGGTAGCCGGAGTCAGCTGTGGATCTGCTGCCGTCCTCTCTCGGCTCGCTCACCCACACACGCTCACACACACACACACACACGCTCACACACACACACACACACACACACAGTGTCTGTCGTTTGCTCTCACTCACTCCCTGCCTCTCTGTTGTTTTTGTCAGCGATGACGCCTCTCTTGAGTGCCCTCCAGGCATGTTGCCGTGGCGACTGGAGTAAAGGCGCGGATGAAAGAGCAAGTACCATCACTTTTTTTTTTTTTTTCCTTTCTCCCAACTCTCCCTCTCTCCGTCCCACCACCTATCTGTGCAGCTCCAGTGGATCACTCGCCTCCATCCGCTCCAACATTTGTCATCCTTTATGTCGCCTGGTGCTCACGGGGGAAGTGCTGCATATAAGGAGCATATTCTTCCATATTCTTCCATTTCTTTCGTGATCGGATGATCCCTCGCTTCCTGTTGCGCTCACCGACCCGCACAGACAATGAAAGTGCGCCGAAAATATAGAGAGTGACAGTTAATACGTTTTCTGCACCTCGTCTCAACCGGCAGAGGCATACATGAATATTTATGATGTGCTTGGTGTGTACTGAGTGTGCGTTTTCAACGTGCGACTGAATGAAGCTTCCCAGTGTCAGAAGTTATTGAGCGCAGTTGTTCTTTGCACCATGTGATGCACTGTTTGTGCTCCTGCAGCAGCATGGCTTGGATTGTTTTTGCAACAGGCGCACACTATTCTAACGGTAACCATGGCTTGTTACCTCGACTCTGGCTCCGTTTTCTGATTAATTCATGAACAGCAGCTATGGGCATATTGATTATTCAGATAATTTGTTATCATCAACCAGCCTCGACTCTTTCATATGTCCTTGTTGACTTCATATTGATTTCTTAACCGACTTCATTCCTGGCGTAAGCAATATTCCAGGAGCAATTGTGCTGCTTTTCTTCCTCAGTGGGATTTCTTTATTCTTCCTCCTGGCTTCTATCTGTGCAATCTCTAATTTCCGAAACCCATCTGTTCCCCTTCTCCCCATGTCTCACTTCAGACTAATCTCAGCTTTAATGTTAATGGATTAAAATGAGGTTGTCTTGATTGAGTTTTATGTCCAGTGGCGGTGTCGGTAAACAACAAATTTATTTGATTAATCAGTTAATCTAGTGAAATGTCAAAACGTGAATATAAAGTGGCTGTGACAAAAATAACAACGGCCCTCTGAACTTGGAGAAGCAGACGAATGAACGTCTCCGTGTGAAAGTGAGAGCGTGTGAAAGACGCATCTCTGGCCTGCCGCCCGAGCTCAGCATCACGTTAGCAAACTGTCAACTTCCCATCATCCTCCTCTTTTCTTTGCTTCTTCAATTTCATGTGAATCTGCACCCATACAGGTGACAAAGTGAGGGATGGATAAAAAAAAAAAAGAGTAAGGGACAAAAAGTTTCAGAGTGTAAGAGAAAGAGAGGAAGAAAGAGAGCGAGCCTGGAGGCTGGAGGAAGGAAGAAATGACACTGCAGGAATCACGGCAGACGTGGAGAAGGTTAGAGAAGATGAAAGTGTATGAGAAACGGAGGAGTTTAGGGAGGGGAGCTGGAGAGGGACACATGGAGGCATTAGCTAAATGGAAGAAAGGCCAACAGTGTTTTTGGTAATGGCACGGTGCTGAGGAGAGTCCTGGCCCAGGCTCCAGGTGGGCCTCCATCGTTTCGTCCCCTCGAGTGTTGCGCTTAACCTGCCGCGCTTCAGTAAGTACCCAGCTGTGCAAATGGCTAACGTGATTGTGAAGATATAAGCCCAGGATAATGGCATCTGCCAAGCAATCAAGAACAATGTTCCTCAGCACCGGGCAGTGATGAAAAAAAGGGAGCGCCCGGAAATGGATGCTGTAGGATGAAGGGCTGAGCCTCCGGGGAAGGGGAGCGATGTGTTGGTAAACGGTCTTAAAGGACCGAGGGGCCGGAAGAGCGGGGACATGAACTCTGAGGACAATCTGTTTAAGGGAACAGATAGAAATGAAATAGCAAAATGATGTTTGGAGTAAATTGTCATGGATTAAGGGCACATTACCTCTTAAGAAAACAAATATGGTCACCATATGAGGGCTTGGAAAACCAGCAGAATAATAACCACGATGCAGCAGGATTTTGTTGGGTTGGGCCTTTTAAAGCCATCGTATGCGTTATATTAGGCTATACTAAAACTTCACCGGTCTGAAAGACTGGATTTGTAACAAAAACAAACTTGTTCATGTGGTAAGTTCTCCGACCACATGGAGCTGAAAGACGAGGTGAACAGCCTGCCGTCCTACATACGTTGGACATACGAGAGGTGATGGAAGTAATTGTGTGAAGAAAGAAAAGAGAGGACAGCTTAAGAGACAAGTTCAAACCTTTCTTTCTTGCCTCTGCACACCTGGCCGATTGCGGTGTTGAACTGCTTGTCAGATTGTCGGTTGCGGAAAGTTACAGAAGTTCAGAAATTGCCGCAGTCCATGTATGTCTTCAAGGAGCCCCTGTATGGATGGAATACGTCTTGACTGGAATAATTGCTGCAAGGTAAATACCAAGATTGTGAAAACTGGATAAAATGACAAGTTATCGACATAACATAAGGCCATACCTGGTCTCAGACTCACAGCAACTTAGTTTTTGTCTGTTATTAAGTGCACTGTACAATATTTGATGCAGACTGATCAAAAAATAAATAAAAAACCTTTGGGAAGTTTAGAAATGTCACGAAAGACCCTTTTACAGTTTGTAAACTGATGACGAATGTCAGTGTGAGCACGCAGTTTGGCAACGGAAGTACAGCGGAGTGCAATAACTGGCTCAGCTATGAAAGAGCATTAACCACCAAAGATCACAAATGCAACATAAACTAATCGACTCTCCAGGTCCATTTGCTGTTAGTGAGTGAGTGGAATACATTAGCAAGTGGGCCAATATTTAGTGGTCAGGTACATAATACGTGTAACGTTACACCACCTGTGCTCATGTACACAACGTCAAATACCATGACATACACTCAGAGCGTTGTGTTTATTGAGTTATGAAATGGGCCGTTGTGGTGGAAAATTATTTTACTTTTTAAGCTTAAATGAAGAATATTGTCAAACAGAACTTGTCTTTTAAAAGTATTTATTCTCTGGCCAGAGAAGAGGCACAGTTATACAGAGTCACTCGGAGTCTGCAGAAGTGTGCACTCCAGATCAAAATATGTACAGATTTATAAAGGGAACAATCAAGGGTGGGGGCCTGCACTGGAGCATCCGGTTTTATCCCATGAAGGCCATGCTGTCAAAGAAGTATAAGAAGTGCTTTATCTGTGCAACAACAGA